TGGGGAGCATCTCGAGGGGTGGGGAAGGAGGAAAGGAGGGGCTCAGGGTGCTGGGGTGTCAGTGCACTGCACTGGGGAGGTTCAGGGTCAGGATGCTCCCCGGGAGCATCGCTCCCCATCCCTCGCAGCCTTCCAGCCTTTGCTGCTGTTTCAGCTTGCTCTGGTTTAAGACCACAAGAGTTACATTCCCCATTTTGAGCCCCCTCTCCTTGTTTCCTTCCCCCCTTCCCACCCTCGGTCTCTGTGTCGGGCACTGCAGGTGTATTGTGAAGATCACAGGGGAGATGGTGCTGTCGTTTCCAGCGGGCATCACCCGACACTTTGCCAACAACCCCGCTCCAGCGGTGCTCACCTTCCGCGTGCTGAACTACAACAGGCTGGAGCACGTCCTGCCAAACCCCCAGCTCCTCTGCTGGTAAGGAGCCCCCCTCCCAAAGGAAGGCAGGTTTCCGTGAAAGTAGGGTGCTTTGCAAAAACACACAGCCCGAAATATCTCCCTTGGAAGCCCTGATTTTCATAGAATTGTCAGGGCTGGAAAGGACATTAAAGATCATCTAGTCCCAACCCCTGCCATGGGCAGGGACATCCCCCACTAGATCAGGCTGCCCAGAGCCCCATCCAGCCTGGCCTTAAAAACTCCCAGGGATGGGGCTGCCACCCCCTCTCTGGGCAACCTGTTTTGGGAAGGAAGCTCTCAAGCCTTTAAATACTTGCCCTCTGAGAGCAGCCCCTTTGCCCAGGCAGAAGAGCAGCAAGTGTTTTGACGGGGTTTTTGCATGTTTTGTGCTTGTTAGACTTCCTGCTTGCGAATACGAGATGACCTGCAGGTTGCATCTGCTGTGCCTCCCCCGGAGGTATCTGAGGACAAGCCAGATTGGCACAGGAGGGAGGCAATATTTCTCTAAAAGTGGGATTAAAGGCGATCCCAGCTGGTTGCTGGCGCTGCTGCCTTGCGTGCTTTGTAGAGAAGGTTTCTTCCGCCGAGGTGGCTCACACGAAGGGTTAATCCTCTCTCTGTGCAGTGATAACACGCAGAGCGATGCCAACACGAAGGAGTTCTGGGTCAACATGCCAAATCTTATGACTCACCTAAAGAAGGTATCAGAACAGAAACCTCAAGCCACCTATTACAATGTGGATATGCTCAAATACCAGGTAGGGTTGGGGTTTTTTTGTAAGAGAAAACTGTGCCAAAAATGTGGGTTTAACAAATAAATGTAAAAGCTGGTATTTCCCTAGTGCAGAGTGGAGATAATGTGAGGTGGGGGCATGCTGTCCCGCTAGTCCCTTCTGTATGTCCCTAGCTTCCCCAATTTTAACCCTGGTACAAACTTTCTGTGGGAATATGAGGTGTTGTCTCCTCTGAAACCAAATGTAATTGGCGCGTCTGTAAAATGGGATTTCTCCCTCCACCCCTGCGGAAACTAAATGTTTTTTCTGTCATTTTGGAAGGTATCTGCCCAGGGTATTCAGTCTACTCCATTAAACCTTGCAGTGAACTGGCGGTGTGACCCTGCAAGCACTGACCTCCGCATCGACTACAAATACAATACAGAGGCAATGACCACACCGGTAGCTCTAAACAACGTCCAGTTCCTCGTCCCCGTCGATGGAGGAGTAACCAAACTTCAGGCTGTGCTTCCTCCGGCTGTCTGGTAGGGATTACTCACCTGACAAAGGGCTCACTTGCTATCCCTGCCACGTCCACGCCTCACCCACCCAGGAGTGGGATCATGGGTGGGAGCTGGGGACACACTGGGGACCCAGACCTGTCCTCCTCTTGCAGGAGGAAGCGTGCAACGCCACGACAGTGTCATTTTTTCTTGCCATTACCACGAGCAAAACGGTTGGTGATGAAGGCAGCAGAACCAATAATCCTTATTTTGTGGTTTTGGCTACTTTTTTCCCGGGGCTCAGAGGGATGCGTGGCCGTCACAGGGAAGTAGGGCATGGCACAGCCCAGCTGCGATGCAAGAGCAATTTTTCTTGCTCGGGTCATCCCCAAAGCCAAGCTCCCAAAACTGTGGCTCTGGAGAGCGACAGTGGAGCTTCTCCCCCAGCCCACATGGCCTTTGGTGAAATTTAAATGACCCCTCTGTAATTTCTCATTTCCTACAGAAATGCTCTTCTTCGCGTGTTTTTTTAGGAATGCAATGATATTGTGGAAGATCCCTGATATCTCTCAGAAGTCAGAAAATGGAGGTAATGTTGCAAATGTGTATGTTATTAATTCTGAATACTTAAATCAGACGCTGACCTGTTTTATCGTGCCTGCTCACAAGTCCAGACACACAGACTCCTGCTGGTGCTTGCCAGGGGAGGATGCTATTTAAAGTTAGGAGCAAAGAGCTTTGAAAAGCAGGGCTACGTACCACTGGCACTGTGTTGCCAACTGTTTTGGCATCACGGAGGGGTATTAACAAACCGGATTTGAATGCAGTTGCTTGCCAAGTCCTTTTGTCCCCCTGTCCAGGGGACCTCAGCCTCCTGTGGGTCACTTCTCCACTGAGCCCATGCAGCTCAGCAGCTTTGTACCCCTGGGGTGTCTGAAAAGTAAAAATCTGCTGGGAGGAGGATGAAGGGGTTTGCTTCTGTCCCCCCGCCCCAGGGGATGCTGCTGGGGTTGGGTACAACTATGGGAGTGGCACTTTGGGCTCTCATTGCCTTTGCTGGCAAATCCATCCCTGGGATGCGCAGGCGCGCCTTTCCGAGCTTGTCAGGCTCCCACGGGGGACTCTTAAATCGCAGGTGTGGGCTCGCTGCTGGCCCGATTCCAGCTCTCGGAGGGGCCCAGCACCCCGGCCCCCCTGGCCGTGCAGTTCACCAGCGAGGGGAGCACGCTCTCCAGCTGCGACATCGAGCTCGTTGGCGCCGGCTACCGCTTCTCCCTCATCAAGAAAAGGTTTGCGGCAGGTAGGTGCTTCACCGGCGGCTCCTCTTGGGGTGGCAGTGTCCCCTCCGGCCATGCCGGCACGCCTGGCACTGCCCGTGCTGGGTATTCTGCTGACAGGTTAAGGCCAGAGGTCCCACCGCAGCACGGCGTGATGGGGCTGGCTGGTGGCTGAGGGGGCAAAACCTCCCTTGCATGAAACAAACCCTGCTCCTGCCTATGAGAGTTTTGAAATTCATGTGCTCTTTTTTGCTCGTGGGTGCTACACGAAAGGCAGGTTCTGGGGATCTCCAAGAGGAGCTTTTGCCCCATTGCTGTGGAGATAAAAATATTTTCCCTTTTGCTCCATCGCTGCAGAGAAATACAAGTATTTTTCTTTTCACCCCATTGCTGCAGAGAAATATAAGTATTTTTCCTTTTGCCCCATCGCTGCAGAGAAATACAAGTATTTTTCTTTTCACCCCATTGCTGCAGAGAAATATAAGTATTTTTCCTTTTGCCCCATCGCTGCAGAGAAATACAAGTATTTTTCTTTTCACCCCATTGCTGCAGAGAAATATAAGTATTTTTCCTTTTGCCCCATCGCTGCAGAGAAATACAAGTATTTTTCTTTTCACCCCATTGCTGCAGAGAAATATAAGTATTTTTCCTTTTGCCCCATCGCTGCAGAGAAATACACGTATTTTTCTTTTTGCCCCATTGCTGCAGAGAAATATAGATGTTTTTCTTTTTGCCCTATTGCTGCAGAGAAATATAAATGTTTTTCCTTTTGCCCCATTGCTGCAGGGAAATATTTTTCCTTTTGCCCCATCACTGCAGAGAAATATAAGTATTTTGCATTTTGCCCTGTCACTGCAGAGAAACACAAATTATGCTGCGGGCACAGGGGCTGGCAGAGGTGGGCGACTGTCACGGGGAACTGGGGCTGCTCCCTCCCCACAGCTGATTTCTGATCCCATTTCTAGGTAAATACTTAGCCGATAACTGATGGAAGCTTATGCAAGTCTGTGGAAAATAATACGGAAAATACCCAAGGACTGCTGTGCGTGGAACGGGTTTTAATTACAGTTTAAGGAAAATGAACTAAATCCTGCACTCGGGACATTTCTGTTGGAAGTGTCGACAACTTTCAGCATTTTTTTTCCTTGGAAAACACCGTCTTGACCAGTCCTACAGTATTTACTTCTAGATGTAACATTGTTAATGGTTTTAAAATGTAATTATTGTATTTGTAAATTGTACTCATTCCAGTAAGGCTGTATTTTGGCAGTTAGACACTTGAGTTTTAGCATTTTACCATTCATGAAATGGATGTAATTTAAACTGTGGTATATAAATTTAATAGTAGTACTGTTGAATGGCACAATGCTTACAGAGATAGATTACATTTTGTCAATATATACAATTTAAATACAATACTGATAGCTGTTATGAAGGGGGTGCCTCATAAAAAGAGAGATAAGTAGAACCGACATGCTGATTTACTTTTCCTTCAGCTCTTAGTATGTCTCACGGTGATGAATAGAAAGCTCTATCTTCAGGTTTAGCTGGTTTAACTCCAGAAAAACATTGATGTAAATGTGGAGGTTCCTAATACAGTCTCCCGGCAAAACGCAGGGAAAAATGTCACTTCTGTGGAGTATTTACTTTGAATTTCCATAACAAGAAACCTCCTTGAACGTGCCCGTGTTTTCTTAGAGTAACCGTTAGGAGCCCCAGCAGTGTGTGCACGGGCGGCAAGCGCTTTGTTTTGCCCCCACGCCCTCACATTTTGCATTTTGCAGAGATGCAGACAAGGAAATAAGCAGGCAAAGAAAAATCCGAGCTTACAGCACTGTCCCAAAATGTTGTTGCTGGTTTTAAAGATGCATTTTCCGAACAGCCTCCAATTTTTTGGTTGCGTTTCTGCGTTCCCTTTGCTTGCTTCTCCTGCTCTCCCCTTCTTGTTTTTGAAAGTCCCATGGGTTTGGAAAATGCTTTAAAGACAAGCAATCCCCTTTCCATGCCTTTTCATTTTACTCCATGTATGTACAGACACTGGAAAACAAATGCAGCCCGAGCCTGACCCTCAGTGGGACACCTGGCGCTGGCTGGGGACGGGGACTGTGCCAGGGGAGCAGGGGCAGCCGAAAGCCTGCCTAGGGAGCAGGGAAAGCACACAGAAGTGCTAAACTGGAGGCTGCGAGGGAAAAAACACATTTTCCCTGCTCCTCTGTCTGTGCATCACCCGTGCAGCGCGTGATTTCCAGCTGACTTTAGTCTCAGCCTGCTGCTGGCAACGTGGTGGTGGCGTTCACTGCGAGGCATCTGCCTTGGTTTAATGGGAGAATTTGTCAATATGGGGGGAAAAAAATAATTAAAAGGGGTCTTTTTGCAATTAAATGCATCTGCTGTTCCGGTGCTCCTCTGTGAATGGGGTGCCGGGGGCTTTAGAAATGTCTAAGATGACAACTAGCACTAATTTTACAGTCACAAACGTTGCCGGGATTCAGTTTGTGCATCTGCACGGGACTGTGCGTGTTGGGAAGTGCTTGCTCACAGAGTAGAGTTTGGAATGATTGTAAGAAAACCAAAACCCATGCCCATCTTAAAGAAAAGGAGGAAATTTGAGGATGTTTCAGGTCTGAAATGACTCCCAGACTGAGATATGTATGAGAGGGTGGTGGAGTTGTGTGCATGCTCATAAAAAGGAATCAACAACGAAGATAAAGCACAATTCAGTTATGCAACTTCTTACATCTTCGTGGGTTTGGGAAGTAACCTTGCCAGTACTCCTGGATGGAGTGTTTAACTCTGTTAATAATTTTCCCCCGAAGTGGAAACATGTACAAACTGTGTAACCTACCCCTTCCTGACGCAGGAACATAGGGCAACATTTAAGAATCAGTTTTTGCATAATTTTTGCATAATGGTTCATGCTGTGTACAATTGTTATAAACTCATGCTTCCAAGAGAGTTCTATGTCATAGTCCTGAAAATGAGGATTTTATAATGTAAATATTACCAGAACATAGATATTTTACTTTATATTTCATTTGAAAGACAAGGTGTTTACATTAGCGTTGGGTTTTTAAATGCTTTTTAAACATAAAAACCCATAACCCAAAGCTCCCAAGCTTGTCCCATGTGTGCTTTCCCACAAAACCGATGGTTGTATTTTTGGGGTGAGTGTTGGGGTTGTGCCCTTTGGCAAGGGTAGAGAGATGAGAAACTACTGCAGCCCTTCTGGGGCAAATTGCCTGTTGGACCCCAGTTTGGGGCGCTGGCATGTTGGGAGCCCCATGGGGACACAATGCCCTTCGAGCCACCAGCGGGTGACACCAAACAGTTATTTGAGATAAACTGTCCCAAACAGTTTTTGGAGATAAATAAAACCTGTCCCAAACAGGACGTGGTGGCAACTATGCTGGGACCAAAACCAACAGTTTGGGACAGGTTTTATTTCGTACTGCTTTTGCCAAGTTTTTTTTTGCAGAGTGTTTTAGCTCATTAGGCATTTGCTCAGGAGTGTTGAGCTGCGTGTCTCCGCTCTGCCTCCCAGCAGGACCTTGGTGAGGAGATGCCTCTCCACGCCGATGGTTGAGTTTTTCTGCCCCGTTCGATGTCTGAGCGGCGAGGCAGCATGGCAGGGTGCCCTGAGGATGCTTATTTTGTCAGATTCTTGTCTCCCTGCGTGCCGTAGGAGTGTGGCACCCTGGCGTTACCCCACACCGAGAGGGCAAACACACCAGTTGCATTTCTGTGTCTGAAGTGCAGGAGTCTGGTTTGCTTTCCGCCTGGCTTTCACAAGGTGTCAGCAGAAAAAAAGATTATGGGCAGCAGCTTGGGACATCTCAAACTTAAATTTAGAGCACTGAATAGGGGCACATATAAGGATGTTTATCCCCAATTCCAGCTTCTGTAGGAGCAGCGAGAGCCTCCGGCTCTGGAGAAGGCGGGTGGGATGCGCTGCCCTGTTACATTCGGGGGCTCTGAAGGCTTCACCTCTGCTTCGAGGCAGAAAAATCTGTGTTATCTTCAGGGAATGCATCTACCTGGAGCTCCATGCCCACTGGCCAAGGGCAGCTATGGCAGCAGGGAGCTGAGAAGGTGGCGATTTAGTTGCCTGGAAGGGCAGTTCTTGAGCTGAGCATCAGCGCTCGGTTCCCTGAGCGTGTGGTCCAGCAGGTCTTCCGCCAGGTTCAGGCACCCCTTAACTCAGCAGCGCTCGCCTCGAACTACCCGAGTCAAAAAAAAAAAAAAGAGGCATTCCAATAATAAATAGGCATGATGCATGCACAGAAAGGCCTTAGCTTAGTGATTTGTTTGGACCTTTCCCTTTAGCTGTCGCTCCCCTGAGGGCTTTCCTCTGGGGTCCCTGGTAGCCACTAGCAGCTCACGCTGCAGGGTCGAGGTGCCCTTTGACAGAGCAGGAGTATTTTTCCCCACAGACACCTGCAGACTTGGGTCTTTAGATATTAGAAGCCAGAAGTTTCTGATTTTTATTGTTTTTTTCAACTTTTCTCAGTCTCTGTGTTGCGAATATTCATGATTCTCAGCCAGCTTACAAGGCTCCTCACAGGAGTCATTTCAGATCAATTTTCCAATTTAACAATAACTCTTAATTACTAGGAAATCCCTCAATAATATGAAATAGTTCCAGATAATAAGCTTTCCGTTTGGTGTTCGCATTTGCTCTTAAATTTCATGCCCCTTTTATAAAGCTGCTTATTTTTCCAGTAAGGCTAGTGCCCATTAACCTTCTATTCCTGCCCAGCTGATGGCGAGTTCTCGGTGGGCCTGCGTGTGGCTTCGCTTGCACAAGCTTTTTCACGCGAGTGTGATCATGTACCGAGGGTATTTCAGTGAAATTAATTTGGTATTTCAGTGAAAATAATTTTGTTTTCAGTAAGCCCTTCCAGGATTGCTCTATTAGATTTTTTAAAAACTTTTTTTTTTTTTTAAAAAAAAAGAAGTTAATGTTTTGGTGAGGCAGGGAGGGGATGGGGAAGGAAGGCACTTCTCCAGGCGCCATCAGCCCCTCGCTGTGGGATGCCACCAGGTATCTCTCACGGCAGTGCCCAGAGTTTGGGCTGCACGGAGAACACCAGAGAAATATGCTGCTTAAAGAAGGTGAGACCCCTCTGCCTTCTCCTTTTAACATGATCGCAGGTGGTTGTTTAATTTCCAGTCGTACAAATTGGTTGGGTCTTGCATGGTGCATTATTTTCCCCCTGAGGTACCTGCCACCACAGGTCTTACTTAATTTACCTAATTCTGGATGATTCAAGGCGATGGCAGCTGCAGAGATTTTTGCAACACAAGGATCAAGTAGGGTCCCCTCTTCACTTTCTTCCTAAAATATTTTTCAAAGGCTGGGCTGTAATGAAAAGGTGACATGTTTTTAAATGGCCTAAGGGAGAGTCAAAGGTATTTTACTACAAATGTTTGGCCTCCTCAGACTTCCCCCTGGCTTTCGCGTCTCCGTTGGCTGTGGTGCGGTTCCTTGCCCACGGGGTATGTGGTACAGTTGAAGAGGAATCCTCCTTCTTTTCACCACTTTTTTGGGGCAAATACAGCCTGCATCTGCTACCCGACATCTGTCTGAGAAAGCCATTTCAGTACATTGAATATGGAGTGATATTGTTTTTCCTTACCCTTTTGTTGCTTTTATGTGAAAATGCCTTAGTTAGAAAAACTCAATTTCGAAGCTTACCATGACCAAAATACGTAGTAACATCATCACGTTGTATTTTCCCCGCTAAGAAATTACCATCTCAGATTTCATTTCGTAGCCAGAATACTTTCTGCTCACAATTCCCCAAGGAAAGTAATTCTCACAGAGCCAGGGAGTTTTTACGTTTGTCATTATTTTAACTCTTACTTCACTGCAAGGCTAGAAAAAAGGTCTGCAGAAATACCTCCGCCTCCTGCGCGACCTCTCCAATCACTTTAGGGGGGGAATTGCAGATAATGCTGCTGACCATTGGTCTTGAAAAATCTCCCGCGTTAGCATGGTGATGCTCTTCAGAGGTTTGCTCACGAGCAAGATTTCACTACAGGCCAATCAGTATGTGACAAAACACAGCAGGCTGTAGCGAGGCGTTAAAAATATTGAATTCCTCCATCTGAAACCTCTCTCCTTCCGCTGCGGATGTGCCGTCCTGCCCTTGGGTTCATCATCTGGGCAAGGAGGGTTTTCCATCCCCAAAACGCTCTAAGGTTGGTGAAATCACCCTGATACTTTGACGGGATGAACCATGTGGACATGTCAGTCGTGGTCTGAGAGAGGAGTCGAGTTGGGCTGGGTCTGAAGCTCTGGTCCCATGGCCACGGGCGGGTGGTGGAAGGTACAGGAGAACCTCACTGCGACACCTCTGAAGCCAGAGGAAGCCCCAAAAGCAAATTGGATTTCCCCAGGTATCTCCCTGTATCATTTTATGAACTCCCTCGTGTATAAAATGTTTATAAATATTTGTGGATTAAGATACACAGGTCTATTTTTAAGATTTAAGTTAAATAAGTTAAATAATGGCTGGCCTTTTTTTGCCTAAACGTGCAATGAAATATATTATACCTTTAGTCTATGATGGCCTAGGTACTGCTTAGTCTGTGATGAAAACTTTGCTGCTTATCTACTGTTCTCAGAGAAAAAAATGTAAAAGACGTACAGGTTTGTTGCACACGGACTATTGCAGCAAAGCTTTGTATTTGACCACTGGTAATATGAATGTGTTGTATTGACTTGTTGAAGATAATCATGAAACAACATATTTTAAATGTTACTTGCCTTATAGATTAGAATACGACTATGTGGATATCATTTTTTGTAAATAATGTTTTTTACAAATGTCTCTCCTCCATTCCTCCCCTCACCCATTTCACAAAATCTTGAATATGCAATTATTTGCCATGCATAATGTTGCAACAAATAAATCCCCACGTCAGAACAAAGTTTATTAATTCTATACATAAGAACCACGTTAAATACCCAACTGAGTTGCAATTTAAATGTGATTTTTTTTTTCCTTGAAAATAAACAAAAAACTGTAAAACACTACTTTTGCCGAGTGAGATTTGCCTGCATGAAAGCCTAAAGGAGCTGGGCAGAGGTATGAAGAGCTGACATGTCCCTGGCCCAAAATGTCATTGCGGCTGGAGCTATGAGCAGCTTCCCGGCCTGGGGACACGCGTTTGCACATGGGGACACGTGGGGGTCCCCGGGGACGGATCGAGTTTTGGGAGGAATGAATAAGGGCTGGAGGAAACATGAGGGACCATGCCTGTGGGTTTCAAGGGGACCCATGGAGACATGTCAGTGCTTGTAGGGACACATGGAGGTGTAGGCACACGTGGGGACCTGGGAGGCCACGAGGACCCATGTGGAGCTGTAAGAACACGCTAGAACCTGTGCGTTCCGTGGGGATGTGTGGTGATCAGAGGGACACGTCTGGGCTCTGGGGACATGTGGGGGCTGTAGACACATGTGGGAGGAGGCCATGGGGATGCGTGAGGGCTATGGAGACCCACGGGGGCTGTAAGGACACCTGGGAACCTGTGGGTTCCATGGGGATCCACAGGTATCACAGGGACTTATATGGTCTATAGGGACATGCGGGGGCTAAGGCCATGGGGACATATGGGGGCTATGGGGCCGTGGGAGGCCATGAGAACTCCTGTGGGGCTGTGAGGACACGTGGGAACCCTTGGGCTCCCTGGGGATCCATAGGGGTCACAGACCTACATGGGCCATAGGGACACATGATGGCTAATGTGGGAGGAGGCCATGGGGACATATGGGGGCTGTGGGGACCTGTGGGGGCTACGGGGACCCATGAGGGCTGTAAGAACACGTAGGAACCTGTGGGTTCCCTGGGGTTCCACAGGCGTCACAGGCACCTGCGTGGACCACAGGGACACGCGGGGATCTGTGGAGGCTGTAGGGACACATGGGGGCTACAGGCACAAATGTGGGGGGCACACGGAAGCATGAGGGGACATGGGGGTTACCAACCGCCCCGGCTCGGTGTGCTTGCTCGG